GGGGGGGCTGAGGTCCGGCCAAAGCTTGCAAGGGGGAGTAGAGGGGGTTTTTAAAGGGATCTGAACGCCCTGAGGCTGGATGCCTCGGCGAATTTTGGGAAACTACCATATCTCAAAATCTTTAACCCTAAACCGCAGGGATTCGGATATGGAGATTCCCATGAGATGGAGGGCAAGGAGGAGTGTTTGTGAGCAGGGCATCCTACTGCAAGGATGACACACACATGTTTCCTCAAATGCTCAAGAATGATAATGTTTGGCGGGGTAGATAGGATGCCCCGAATTTCCTTTGGGTTTATGGTTTGCCACATGACGTTTATGCTCAGCAAATGTTCACACTTTTATTCCCTTCCTGCTGGCTATTCCATGCCCTAAACCCTTAACCCAAATCCTGTATGCGCCCTCCTGATCTTTCTTTTCTGCGGTACATGAAAAGACATTAGCTTTTTCCAGAGGCCGCCCTCCAGTCAAGGCTAGGTAGGTATCATCTCTAGAATTTAGGCTTTAGGGTTTAGCGTTGACGTTTGTAGGTGGCCTGATTCACGCACAGTCTACATATAAGACACACGCACATATATATATATATACGTACACATGCAAAGTTTCCCTGTGACTCTAAACCGAGGCTTGCGTGAGCCGTACACGCCAGCAATCTTAGACCCACAAAAGCTTACAACTGAGGAGACTTCATAGGCCAAGACCCTACACCCCAAGTCCTGATGAAACCTGAAGCCTCAAAACATTACATCCCAAGTCCCAAACACCTAAAATCCCAGCACTGTGAATCCTAAAGCAAGACCCTATGGTCCTCAAGCTCTTAAGGCAGTAGTACTACTTGTAGTATCATTGACCCAAAAACCCTAGACGCGAAATCCTAACCTTAAGTCTTAAACCTGAAGCCTACCAGAAATCCTAAACCCCAAGTTCTAAGGGGTCAATAGTCCGCAAAGGTACTTGGAACTAGGGGGCCCTCGCAACTCGCTTGAACTCGGCCGGGCGATGGCATCACTGCACGCGCAGAAGGAGAGTGACCCTAAACGTTCAGGGTTCAGGTTGTAGGGCTTAGAGTTCAGGGTTTTGATTCAGGGTTTTCTGTTCAAAGGGTGGGGTCTGGGTGTAGGATGCAGACTTTAGGTTTAGGGTTCAGGGTTTGGGATTTACGGAATACTTAGTGTGACTTAACAGAGTTAGCGGGGGACTGTATGGTTGCAATTATATGCGTATAAATTCTAGGAACCCCAAGGAAACGTTAGGGCGCCTTCAATCTATAGGGATTATACAAAGATACATACAGGGATCACAAATTCTCAAACGGACGACCGGCCCCTAGTTTGTAGCCTTTTGTTTTGAGAAAATTGGGGAGATTTTCTGTGTCAAATGGGGCATCTGTTTATAGGTACGGTATAACCTAGTAGCAAATAGGGTAACCCCAAAACCTTAAACCCAAAACCCCAAAACCCAAAACCCGAAGCCCCAAACCCTAAACCCTAAATTGAGTCTGAGATTTGTAAGCTTACTGGTGGCTAGTAAAGAGGGGAGGTTACAGTGTACGGGATTTGTCTGGCCTAGGGTTTTGGGTTGTTTTTTGGGTCGTTTAGGGGTTTAGGGTTTAGGGCGTGGGGCTGGGCTAGTTATGGGGCTAAGTTAGCAATGGGGAATGACGGTTCCGAATAGCATCATGATGCGCCATGCTAAGCTTTGGCCACGTCCTGGCATGTCTGAAAAGCCCTGGCCTAAACCCTTAAACCCCAAAACCCTAAACCCGAAAGCCCTGAAACCCTGAACCCCTAAATCATAAACCCCTAAACCCTAAACCCTACAGCACACGGCCCACTTCAACTGACAATCTGCCGCCGTGCCCTTGCTGAAGCTGGCACAAAAGCCCATCGCGCATGGCAAGGCTTTTCTCAGCAAAGGCGACGAAGTGGATTGGCTCATGAGCATCGCTCATTGTCGCAACCACCAAGAATATTTCTGAGCCAACACGAGGACAGATTGGTATCACCGCTGGACGCCACGTAATCCCAATAGCGATCTCTCTATTCCATTCCTTTGTGCTGCGTGAACTTGCGCATAATCCATGAACCCCAGGCCCTAAATAGGTGAAATGCTGAGGGATTGGGGCCATGAGGCTTTAGGGTCTTTTCAGGCAGTAGCTGAAGGATTGGAAGCAGTGCGGCTTAGGGTGATTTTAGCTCCGGGTTTGTTTGGCGAACAGGTTTACGGTTCAACGCCCAATTTTTGCATGCCTAGTTGTCAAGAAGTATGGTCCCTCTTCAGAGACCCACTGTGTCGGAAGCTGGTTTAGGGTTGGGGGTTTAGGGGTTGAATACGGTCTCGTACGGATACGTCAACCGCTAACCAGGATGATGGGTTTTTAGGTTTGGGTTGCGGGTTGAGGGTTCCACAGGGTTCCAAAAATCAGTGGGTTCCCAAAAATGCTGCGGAGTAGGGTCTGTTGTGGACGTATTTATCATAAGAAGGAACCTTGTAAACCCTAGCCCCTAAACCCTAAGCCCATGTGTGTGGGTGCCCAGAGGAGAGCGACAGATTTGGCTTTGAGGCGGGCAGCAAGCAGTGTGTTATACAAGCGCAGTAAGTGGGTCACATGGACGCATTGTTTGGGATATATGGTTCAGGGTTCTGGGCTTAGCGTGTAGTTCACCCTGAAGTCCTAAATCCCGAACCCTAAATCCTTTACTCCTAAGCCCCAAACCCTAAACCCTAAATCCCACACCCTAAACCCTTTACTCCTAGGCCCCAAGCCCTATCCTTGGGTTCCTTGGAGGTCGACAACACGAAGCTCGACGGGTGAACCGGGCTTCAACGGGCACGGAGCGCCCTGTTTTGGGTTGACGGGAGATAGAAGTCAGGTGCACCCCCCACCCTGTCATAGTGACTATAAGGGATAATAAGGATTATATTCAGGTGTTCTTATATTGTTATTATACCACTATCACAGGGTGGGGGGTCCTCCTAAGACAGAAGGGGTATACATAGGGTACTGGCCCCACCCAGTAACAGTTTATATTAGGGGTCCTATTAAGGGCTGTATATACCTAGGTTAAATGTATTTTCCCATTGTTACTGAGGGGGGCAGTATCCAAGGTGATAGGCCAAACGAGCATGGAACCACACAAAGGCTCTTGAAAAAGCCAGTAGTGCCTTGACGGCCTGTTGAAGGTTTGGGGGGTCTATGTCAATACCCTAAACCCTAAAGCCTAAACTCAAACCCTAAACAGTAAAGCCTAAACCCAAACCCTAAACCGTAAGTGCAGAAAGCCTTTTACACTAATTTGTTCAGGATCCTGGCCCCAGAATAAGGGATTGGCCAGTCTCAGTGGTGTGGGTATAGGGTTGAATGCCAGCTAGGCTTTAGGGGTTTAGGGTTCGGGGTTTAGGGTTTAGGGTTTTAGGGTTTAGGGTTTTAGGGTTTTAGGGTTTAGGGTTTCAGGGTTAGGGTTTGGGGTTTAAAGTTTTTAGGTTTTGGGGTTTTAGGGCTTAGGGTTTTAGTAGCTTTTGCTCGGGTCAAACCCCAAAGCCCTACGCAAGCGCTCCCACGTAAACCATTCTTGGGTTTGTTACGAGTTTCTTAGTAAGAAATGGTGATGTTCCATCCCCCAAAAGGAACTGCATAGGAGGGTTTGGGAAAACGTTATGCGTTGACACGTCCTCCATTCTCCTCCGCACTTGCAGTTGCAAGGTATAGTAGGTAGCTAAGATGTGAACCTTCCCAATATATGAAGGAGAATCGCCCTGACTCGGGGACTATGTATTCAACTTTAAACCCGAAACCCGAAACCTTTACGCAACTATAAACTATAGGCCTGACCCTCTCCATCCCACACAACAACACCTGCACCCCAAACCCTGCACCCTGATCCCTACCTCCCACACCTCAAGACCTGCACCCCTAAACCCTGCACCCTGATCGCTACATGGGCTTTGCCAAAATCAGGGTACTTTAAAGGGCGGATACAGGATTCTATAGGGTTTAAAAGGTTTCAGGTATTAGGGCTTTCCGAAAATTCGACGTACCTTGTTCGGGGGAGTGCGCCAAACAAGGATTATAGTATTTCAGGGGTCTATATTGGGGTGGCCCCTGTTCAGGGCAACTACCAACAAAGCCTTACCTCCACCTAGACCTTGCGCCGTGAGCCCCAGAACCCCGGATCCCTGGATCCCTAAACCCTAAACCCGATCTCATTCCTAAGCCTTATAAGTCCTAAACGACACCCTATAAGCCCTCAGCCCCAAACCCTAAGCTCTGAGCCCTAAGCCCCGAACCCTGGCCTCAACCGAGTCCTACGACTTAAGCTTTAAGTCCTAAACCCGAAACAATAAGGCCTTAAAGGTAAAATCCTAGAAGCCCTAACCCTCAGCCCTAAACCTTAAGTCCTAAGCCCTAAAACCCTAAGTCCTAAGACCTTAACACTAAGCCTTCAACCCTATGTCCTCAGCCCTAAGCCCTGAGCCCCGAACCCTGAACCCTAAACCTTAATCCTTAAGCTCTACCTGGACCCCAAGAGTATGTAAAATAATGGCCTTTTGGGCTAGATTTTGGTGTTTGGGGCTATCATTTTACCTACTTTGGGGGTCCAGGTAAGCCCTAAACCCAGGATCGGGGAGACACCGCAACACAACGCATGGTCAGACAACTGGGCGGCTTGAAGAGTTGGTCGTTTCCTAAGGGTGAGGAGGGGCCTTTTAGACTCCTTGGGACTTAGCTTGGACCTTAGACCCTAAACCCTTTGGGATTCCCTTCTATTCCTATTATAGGTACCTAAGGGTTGACCCTTAGTTGGGGTCCTAAGTGCCACGTAGTAGAGTTTAGTGATTTAGGGCTTAGGATGTAGGGTTGATAGGGTTTAGTGGTGTACTCAGGGACTCTAGGGATATAAGGGGGATTCTAACAGTTCAGGTTTTCGGGTTCAAGGTGTAGGGTGCGTGAACCCCCTCCCAGGATTCTACCCTAAACCCTAAACCCTACCTGAACCCCAAAAGTATGTAGAATCATTGCCTTTTGGGCTGTTATTATGCGTTTAGGGCCATTATTTTACATACCTTGGGGGTTTAGGTAAAAGCTAAACCCTAAAGCCTAAACTCTTTGCAGAAACTTGCGGTTCAGAATTGAGGGAGTATGGTTACGGATTCAACATGAAGGGGCTTAAGGCCTAGGGGGTTGAGAAGTTGCATGGGTAGGGATCATAGTTGGGGTTTGAAGTTAGGGCTTCTGGGTTTGGAGCTTTTGGTCTAGGAACTTAGCCTATGGAAGAAGATATGAGGGGCGTAGGGTTGTGGACTGTCTGGGTATACTTCCTCAAGCTAGCAAGGCACCCCCCCACAAAAGCACTACAAAGACTTTTTGCTGTTCGGGGCAACAAGTGGAAAGTAAACATATTTTTATCAAAGAACAGTTTTGGGAGACGCATGGGGGCTCACAATTGGCTTGGAACTCCTTTTGTTGAGGTACGCGGTTTAGGGTTTAGGGTTTGAACCTCCAAGTACAATCCTTTTGAAACGGGCTCGTATGGAGTTCGATGTTTGTTCGGGCTTTGGGATCACGAGCTGGTGCTTTGCTTGGTCAGTGCCAAGCTGCAACACCCTTAATCTATAATATGAGCTTTAGTAAAAACTCCGAGTGTCCCCCTTAAGAAGCCCTGTAGTACTTCCCAATACAATCCCTCAACAGCCTGCTTTAAGGAGTTTAGACCCTATACCCTGAAGCCCCCTATATAATCCTTGTCAAGGAGTTTAGACTATAGTACATATGGGTTGTAGGGGTTTTGGGAGCGACCTGGGGTGCTGGGATTAGAAACTGTGGTTTAGTCACACGATGTAGAGTGTAGGGTTCTAACTTTGTTGTGAGCTTTTTAAAGGCTTAGATCCACAGTGCAAGTTGGTTTGAGAATGGAGGGAGTGGCGCAGGGTTTGGGTTTAGCCATTGATTCGCTTTGGGCTTGCCGTGGGGGGGCGCCAGACACAACTTGCTCTTCTAGCCACATGTCAAGCGGAGGGTCCACCGCTGATTCAGGTACTTCCTAGATAATATCCTGTAGTCCTCTGCATGTACTTTTATAGACAATACATGACAACATGGGTGTTTAGCAGTTTACCCTAAACCCTAAACCCTTCAATTCACACACCCTCCCAGCGTCCGTGTCATTTTCCAGCTTCTTTCCCACTTGCTCATCCATAATTGCTACCTTGAACACCATATTACCCTTTTTAATCCCCTGGAAGGGATCCCTAATTTCTACGCCCTTCACCCGAGGGTTGTCTGCCAAAACCATTAAAGGCGCCCTAGGGTTTAGGGTTTAGGGTTCCCCTCCTGACCCGAAACCCTAAACCTTAAACCCTGAACCCTAAACCCGCCTGCTCTCCGCTCTTGTTGAGTCAGTTTGAACCCCTGAACCCTAATCAATCCCCTCCTCATACAGGGCTTTATAGGGGATACGTATGGCGTAGAAGTAGTAGAATGCAGAATATTATAATGGAAAAGGAAATGGAAAATGAAAGGGAAGCTTGGGTTGAAGCGAGGAATATTACCCATGTCCTGGTCATAGGTCCCTTTTCATAGGCATGGTAGGTATATACTACTTCCCAAACCGTAAATCCCTAAACCGCGTGCGCGTGTTGTGGAAAAGGACAGAGAGTTTTTCCGCCGCTCACATAGCCAATTTTGAGAGCCCCAGGGAACCCCATGCAACCCCACACTGGGGACCCAGAAAAACCGGAAACGCTTGAGATTCAATCAGGTTGATTTCTTTCGAACTCAACGCCTTGGCTACCAGGCTTGGGCACAAGGGTTTGCGGTTTAGGGTTTGCCTTGAGAACGAAGTTTAGGGTTTAGGGTCTAGATGAGCCCCCAAAGACGCAGGCTCCATGTAGCTTAGTAGGGCGTTTAATGATGTAGGGTGTATATATACATATATGTATTTGTGTACATGATTATTTTATGGTTCATGTAGTTCCCAAGATGGGATATCGTGTTTTAGGTTTGGGTCTTAGGACTTTTTGTTTGAAGTTTAGGCTTGGGCACAGGCGCTGGCCTGGGGCGTCCAGCAGAGCATGCTTCGCGTCAGAAGGACCAGCAAACTCGTCTTCTGGGTGTCAGCCTCGTTGGCGAAGCAGCATGCAGCCATCGATCTTATGACTTGGTAATGAAGACTCTGGAGCAGAATACCCTTTGCTACTTGGGCCCCTCTAAGTTCCCTTAAAGGCAAGCCGAGCTTAAGAGTGAAAAACCCAAGAAAACATTAGAGGTCAGCTCAGGGCCTGTGAAGGTTGCGGAGCAGAAGCTGGAACTTACTTGTGAAACAGGTGCTCCTCTGGAGCTGTTATGGGCCTTGCAGCGCAGGGCCCTTGCTTGCGACCTTGTTGGCCTAGCTGGTTACGCCGAGCAGCAGGCATGGCATGCACACCTCTTGCGTCGCTTGACAGACATCGATCCACCCCTGGGGTACTCCCGAATCAGTGTGCAACAGATTTTAGCCGCCGACCGAGCCGCTTGGATGAAAATGGCAGAATGGACCACAGATGGTACTCAGCGCCGAGCTGACGGCACACTCCCGCTCAATTCCTTGTTCGCTCGCTGCATGAGTGATCCTAGCGTCACCTTTCACTTGTTGCCTTTGCCATTGGGAGGAGCCTTCAAAAGATCCGCCTCGGACCTAGCAACGTTCAGGATAGCGACTCTGTCAACTAGGAGGCGCAGAGGTTTTATCCGTAAACCCTAAACCTGAAACCCTAAACCGTAAACCCTAAACTTTGGGCATGTACATTGGAATAAGAACTTGACCTTCACCTGAAGCA